CTTCCTTCCCTGAGGGTGGAGCCTTCCTTCCCTGTGGGTGGGGCCTTCCCTGTGGGTGGGGCCTTCCCTGAAGGTGGAGCCTTCCCTGTGGGTGGGACCTTCCCTGAGGGTGGAGCTTTCCCTGTGGGTGGGACCTTTGCTGAGGGTGGGGCATTCCCTGTGGGTGGAGCCTTCCCTGAGGATGGAGTCATCCCTGTGGGTGGGACCTTCCCTGAGGGTGGAGCCTTCCTTCCCTGAGAGTGGAGCTTTCCCTGTGGGTGGAGCCTTCCCTGAGGGTGGAGTCATCCCTGTGGGTGGGGCCTTACCTGTGGGTGGGGCCTTCCCTGAGGGTGGAGCCCTCCCTGTGTGTGGAGCCTTTCCTGAGCCTGGAGCCTTCCCTGTGGGTGGGGCCTTCCCTGTGGGTGGGGTCTTCCTTCCCTGTGGGTGGGGCCTTCCCTGAGGGTGGCGCTTTCCCTGTGGGTGGAGCCTTCCCTGAGAGCAGAGCCTTCCCTGAGGGTGGGGCAGGTGCACAGCGTGGATGGGACTTCTAGGCTGGGGTGGGGCCCAGGATTCTTCTTGAGGATCCTGAGTTGGCAAGGGTGGACAGACCTGTGGCCATCCTCAGCTGCTACCTGGCTTTTCAGGGTGTCACTTGGGAGGAGGGTGCCAGAGCCCTTGGTGATCCTTGATGTTTGCAGTTGCCCTCCGGGGTCTGCCCCGACCCCTCCTTCAGCACCATCCCCCCTGCACCTCCTGGAAGCCCGACCTTAGGAGCCTGGCCCTGCCCGTCTTTCCTGGGAATGTTGGCCATGCCCCTGTTTCTGCAAAGCGGCCTCTCTCAGCCCAGGGCGGGGACAGAAGCAGCCCTTGTGCTAATTTTCTTTGTTCTATTGTTTCCCCTACTTTCCTCGACTATTTGTTTCATTTTCTTTTTCTTATCCCGTTCTTTTTGAAATTTTCCGTTCTTTTCCCTTTGTGTGTGTGGAAACACTTGAAAGTTCGCAAACTCAAACCTACGGGGCCTCCAGGTAGGAAATGCATGGACAGAAGCCCTGTGTGTGTGTGTGGTTCTCATTCTGTGTCTGGAACTGTGACCAGGCAAGCCCCCGGAGCCCCACAGCCCACCCAGTCTGTAGAGTGACCACTGTCCCCGCCCACTGAGCATCCCTGCACCCCTGCCCTGCGTGGCCCCATGCTGGGCGGCCCGATCACCCTGGGCCCTCCCCTGCCTGGAGCCCACATGCCAACCCTGCCCTCCCTGGAGCCCATGTGTCAACCCTGCCCTCCCCAGGCCCATCCACCCTTCTCACCATGTCCCTGCCCCCAGCCGCTGCTTCCTGTTGCCGGCCCGCCTGTGTCCCTTGTGGTCTTGTCCTGTCCTGCTTCCGGCCTGGCTCCCCTCGTGCCTCCATCCCCACCCCACGGGCCCCATCTGTGAGCAGAGCAGGAATGGTGGATGGGGGGCTTCCCCCACCCTGGCACTGGGCACCTGTCTGGGGCCAAAGGTGCTCCCAGGCCAGGACCCCCAGGCCGGCCATGGTCCTTGTCCCACCGTGGCTCACGGGGTGGCCTCTGCGGGCAGCTCACCTCAGGGGTCTGCTTCAGGGTCTTCTGTCCTGGACTCAAGTTTCTCCTGAGTCTTGCCCTGGTGTCACAGGGGAACCCCAAGGCTCTGGGCCGTCCCACCCCTGTGCGTTCCTCACTGCTGAGAGCGGGAAACAGGGCTGTTTGTTCAGACTGGAGGGCAGTGAGCCGCTATGGGAAGCCTCACCCCCATACAGCACGAAGGGCCTCTCCCTGTCGGGTGGGCAAGCTTGTGCTCTGTGACGGCACCGCCCTGCAGAGCCTGGGGCCAGCCGCTCCCCACATAAACTGGGAGGGCTTCCTGCACAGAAGCCCTTGATGACTCCTCCAGGGGCCAGTCACCCATCCTGGAGGAGAGACCTGGCCACCCTTCCTGGGAACTGTTAGAATGTTGACCCTCCATTCCCAGAAGGGAAGTGGGTGCGATGCTGGGCAGTGGTGGGTCCCCGGCACCTCTGCCCCCGACATGCTCAGCCATAAGACATCTCCAATGTCTGCAGAGGCCCTGCCGCCCCTGGGGCCAGGTGGCTGGCGCTGAAGCCGGCTGCCCCCTCCCCAGCCTCTGCTCTCTCTCAGGGCCGCCCCCTCCCCTTGTTGCGCCCTCGTCCCACAGCCCCGTCCTGCCCTGGCCATGCTACCCACCTGTCTTGCCCTGGCGCTGCTGCTTTGTGTGTTCGAGGCATGGCCTCCTGTGTGGCTCTGAGGGCTGCCGTGTGTGTCTCTCATCTGGGCCTGTGTGCGTGTGGGTCCCGCCAAGGAGAGGTGGGGAGCCACCTGTGGCCCCCGGACAGACTCCAGCCAGCCTGGGCTCTGCTGCGCCCACAACACCAGCTCACCAGTCGCCTGGGTTCCTGCTCTGACCTGGACAGCGGACTGCCCTCTGGAGGGAGGGGGCTCACAGGAGCCCCACTCCTGCCAGCATTTTGGGGGGCACCTCTGGGGCTGCAGAGGGAACAAAGAGGCCGTAGACGGGATGGCGGGGCCTAGGAGCAGAGGCTGAGGAGGCGGAGGGGTGGGTCAGGGAGCCGGGTGGGGCAGAGGCTCCCGAGGAGGGCATCTCTTTCTGAAGCTAGCTGGAATACTCTGAGGGCACGGGCGGTGAGGAGCAGGCGGAGTGAGGTAGGGGGGAGTGGTGGGGGGGTGAAGAGGGGGACGTCCCACCCAGACATGGGGAGGCGCCTGCACGCCCACCTGGGGGGCTTCAGGGGACCCGGACCTGGTCCTGCTGGTGGCTGTGGGTGGCAGGGCAGGAAGATGGGGGTGGGTATGACCAGGACTGGGAAGGGGGCTCGGAGCAGAGCTGGGCATCTGGGCCTGATGAGCCTGGGCTCATCCTATAGACTCCAGAATGAGGTTCCCTTTGCCAAGCAAAATCCTTTTCTGTGTCCCCACCTCCCAACTCCTCCAGCTTTGGCAGAGAAAGTGGCTGTGTAGAGAGAGGCCGGGGCCCTAAATATATTCGGGTGCTGTCCTTCTGGGATGTTCAGGGATTAGAAGGGGGGCAGGGAGTAGGGCCTCCCCCGACCTGCGCACCCTCCTCCACCTGCTCCAGGCTGCAGGGTTGGGGCTGCATGGGTGGCCTGTTCCCTCCTCCCTCCTCTCTGCTGTCCCTGCTGGTTGACAAGGCCCCAGGCACAGCCAGAGAACGAAGGTGGCTCCTGGGACTGCCCAGGAGAGGTGGGCCTGAGCCCAGGACCCAGTGGGCAGCTGCCTGAAAGCCCGACCACATCACACGCTGCCGGGTGTCTGACACCGCAGGCGTCGGCCGGTGGAGCTGTGCAAGCTGAGGGAGGTGTCCCAGGACTCGGGCGGGTGAGACGCTCACTCCCCTCTCCTCCTCTCCCCCAGACTCATCCCCCCGTTGAATCAGCTGGAGCTGCTGAGGAACCTCAAGAGTAAATCTGGACTTGCTTTCAGGTCAGCCAGGGAGCTCCCGGTGGGGCGGGTGGGCGTTTCAGTCCTCTGGGGGCCCCGGCTGCCCACAGAAGACTTGCCCCGGACAGTGCCCCGGGGACTCCAGGGAGCTGGGATGCACAGGGACGCTGGACTTGGTGATGGTGGTGCTTTCTCTTTCCGTGTCTGCTGACCTGGTCTGGACTCCCATCCCCAGGCGGGCAGCTGGTCTGGGGGACGGGCAGAGAGGGAGGGGCAAAGGTTGACGTGGGACCCAGGTGTGTGGGTCGTATGACACAAAGTGTCCCGGCCCTGCGGACCCCCGGCCCTGCATCCTCCCGAGTGCCTGGTGGTGACTCAGGCACCAGTGGCACCTGCTGCCTCTCCTTCCGGCCCAAAGCCCACGGCTGTCAGAGTGCCGGGCGCCGAGGTAGGTTGCAGAAGGGCCTGCTGAGCGGGAGACGTGGACCACGCATTCACCTGCCAGGCCTGCCCACGGCCAGGGCCGTGCCCAAGCAGTTCCGTGTCAGAAAGCCCTTGGTGGGGCAGGAGCTTCTGGTGGGTTGGATGCTGGTCTCTGCCTCCTGGAGACACCTTTCTGTCCTGGAACCTGTCAGGACAATCTCAGATCATCCTGGATTTTCCGGGCGGGCCGAGTCCAGCGATGAGTGTTCTTACAAGGAGAGGGAGATGGGGAAACACATGGAGGAGACAGCCAACTAGCATGGAGAGGGACTGAAGCGATGTGGCCACCAGCCAAGGGCTGCCTGGAGCCACAGAAGCTGGAAGAGGCAGAAAGGAGCGTTCCCTGGAGCTGCTGGAGGGAGCAGGCCCCGCCCGCCTGCCCGTCCGCCCACCCTGCCCGTCCGGCCGCCCGCCCGCCTGCCACTTGGTTTTGGACTCTGGCCTCTGGGACGGTGAAAGAACAAAAGTCTGTTGTACACTCCAGCGGCACTTAGTTACAGGAGCTGTAGCACGTGAATCCAGACTTTAATCCCGGGAGCCGCGTGCTGCTGTGCTAAACACCTACAAGTGTGGGCGCAACTTCAGAACTGCGTGATGCGGGGGCTTGTTTCCTGGAATCACAGGTCCACGCGTGGAGGGCTTCAGCCCCAGCATGCGTCACACCCAGAGTCACACACACCTGATTTAAATGATTCTGATGACTTTATTATTTTATTTATTATTTTTGTTTGAGATGGAGTCTCACTCTGTCACCCAGGCTGGAGTGCGGTGGTGCGATCTCGGCTCACTGCAACCTCTGCCTCCCGGGTTCAAGCGATTCTCCTGCCTCAGCCTCCTGAGTAGCTGGGATTACAGATACCTGCTACCACGCCCGGCTAATTTTTGTTATTTTTGGTAGAGATGGGGTTTCACCATGTTGGTTGGCCAGGCCGGTCTCAAGTTCCTGACCTCAAGGGCTCTGCCTGTCTTGGCCTCCCAAAGTGCTGGGATTAAAGGCGGGAGCCACCGTGACCGGCCTCTGATGACTTTAGATGATGAAATTTGGGACTTTTTGAACTGATGGGATTTAGATGAGATTTTGGACATATTTTGAGGTGCATGCTGGAAGAAACTGAGGTGTCCTGAAGAGATGGTGGGGCTCAGGAGGAAGTGGGGATGCAGCTATTGGAAGCTGGAGGGAAGGCTGTCCGTGTGTTGTTGGTGGCAGAGAATCCGCCAGGCTGTGCACTGCTGTCGGGCAGAGGCAGAATTTTTAAGTGATGAACTGGGATATTGAGCCAAGAAGATTTCCAAGCAAAGTGTGGAAGGTGCAGCCTAATTTATTTCTGCTGCTCATAGTAAAGTGAGAGAGGAAAGAGGGAGATTTGGAATGGCACCTGGCCGATCCGCCAAAAGACTATAAAAAAGAAAAAAAAAAGAAGAAGAAGAAGAAAGCATTCAGGGCAGAACTGCTGTAAGAAATCAGAACGTGAAGGTTTGGGAGGTGCTCAGCCTGTCCAGCTTGCAAAGGGTCTTAAATTAGGAGATTCACTGTTGGCAAAGCCTGCTTTGGCGAGAAGCCCACAGGTGTGGCCAGACAGCCTCATAAGGTGCCAGGTGTGCGGCCGCAGCCTCCAGCGTCTCCACAGAGGCGTGAAGATGGAGCTACCCGGGAAGGACGTGCAGGGCGGCCTCTTGTCTAACGGCATCGTGCCCTGTGACATATTCAGGAGGCCCTGGAGGTTTTGGGGGGTTTCATACCAGCATAAACTAGATGGGCAGAGACAGCGTCAGACGAAGGTAAGAAGGCATCGAACTTCCGGGAGTCTGCAGGCAGGAAACAGGCCGGTGGCGTCCTCAGCTGTGAACACAAGCTGCCCTTCAGGAAACGGAGAGCGACGCCAAGGCTCCCGCAGAGGCCGGCGGGGCCGAGAGCCCCCAAGGAGCGTCCCCAGAGCTGTGCCACGTGGAGTTTGCCCACTGTGGTGGCCGGCGGCCCCTCTGTCATTCTCCCTTTCTGAGTGGGAAGGGCGGTCCTGCCGTTGATGTGGGTTTTTTTTTTTGAGACGGAGTCTCACTCTGTCACCCAGGCTGGAGTGCAGTGGCCAGATCTCAGCTCACTGCAAGCTCCGCCTCCCGGGCTCACGCCATTCTCCTGCCTCAGCCTCCCAAGTAGCTGGGACTACAGGCGCCGCCACCTCGCCCGGCTAGTTTTTTGTATTTTTTAGTAGAGACGGGGTTTCACCGTGTTAGCCAGGATGGTCTCGATCTCCCCACCTCGTGATCCGCCCGTCTCGGCCTCCCAAAGTGCTGGGATTACAGGCGTGAGCCACCGCGCCCGGCCTCTGCCGTTGATGTTTTAAGCAGATGACTTGTTTTGTAGATTCACAGGTGCGCGCACGGAGGACTTTAACCCCAGGTTGGTGCACACCCACAGTCTCTCACACACCTGATTTAAGTGATTGCCATGACTTTAGATGATGGGATTTGGGACTTTTTGAATGGATGGGATTTCTTCTTCTGTTTTTTTTTTCTCCGAGACGGAGTCTCCCTGTGTCACTCAGGCTGGAGTGCAATGGCACGATCACGGCTCACTGCAACTTCTGCCTCCTGGGTTCAAGTGATTCTCCTCCCTCAACCTCCCGAGTCTCTGGGATTACAGACGCCCGCCACCACACCCAGCTAAGTTTTGTATTTTTAGTAGAGACGGGGTTTCACCATATTGGTCAGGCTGGTCTCGAACTCCTGACCTCAGGTGATCTGCCTGTCTCGGCCTCCCAAAGTGCTGGGATTGCAGGTGTGAGCCCCCACGCCCGGCCAACAAATGGGAGTTCGATGAGGTTTTGGACACAGAGTCTGTCCTGCAGAGGGTGGAGACCTTTGGGGATCTTGGGAGGGGTGAGTGTATTCTGGACATAAGACGGCCATGAATTTTGGGGGGTTGGGGGAATGCAGTGGGTTGAATGCTGGTCTCCAAAATGTCCCAGAATGTGCAAATGTGGCCTTATTTGGGAAGAGGGTCCTTGCAGCTATAACTGAGTTTGGGATCTTGAGATGAGATCACCCTGGATCATCCCAATGGGCCCTATCCCGGTGACAGCTGTCCTTACAGAGCTAGAGGAGGGGAAGACACAGAGACATGGAGAGTGCCATGGAGAGACAGAGGCAGAGACGGAGTGGTGCAGCCACAAGCCAAGGACACCTGGGCCACCGGGAGCTGCAGGAGACGATGAGGGACCCTCCCCGAGAGCACGGCAACACGGTCTCTGCCACATGAAGTATTTGGAAGTGCACCAAAGAACCTGCTTGTAACATGGCGTACCAGCCGGGGCACCAGCCCAGGTGTTCGGACGAGATCGCTGGGGCCTCCCCATGGATGAGCCGAATCACAATCCACCGATCTCTACTCAATCTGCAATGCCTTTACCAGCAGAAACAGCCCCAAGTGAGACGCCGGAAGGCCCAGACAGCTTTGCCTGCAGGGCGAGGCCGGGACCGTTGGTTGGTGACACAAACCCTGGGCTCACTGACTGTGGCGCAATGGAGCCACCCCTGGAGAGTCGTGCGGAAGAGAATCATTCCATTGGGATGAGCGTGGGAAAAAGAGTCGGAGCAGCTCAGTCTGTCTCGAAAATTGATTGTAAACTAAACTCCCTTGCAGAGCTTTCTTCAGCAAACATGTCCTTTTTGGAACTTTATTAATATTGGTGTGGTTCTGGTTAAAATGAGTGTCCGTGAATGTGGGGGGGTAGTGACCCCCAGGTCAGAAGAGCAGAAGCCCCCGGCGGAGTCCCTCTTTCCTCTCAGAGCTGCTGCCGTGGGCCCTGGGGTGCCCGTTCCTGGGGCCGTGGGCTCTCTGGGGTGGGTGAGCTAGCTCCACCCCTGCCCAGCCTTCTCTGAGACCCCCCTCCCCTGCAGCCCCTGGCCCATGGGACTGTGGGGGGCTGGGCTGGTTAGGGGACCCTCAAGGGTGCTGAGCGGGCGGCCACTAACTCTCTATTGCTTCTGTTTGAAGGAAGGAGCCCCCGCCGGAGCCGTCTCCAAGGTCAGTGCCCCTCGCCGCTGCCCTGGTGTCTGCCATGTACACAACCGTCTGGTCTCTCTCCCACACGTTGGCACAACCTGTTGTGGAGACATGAGGGCCTTGTGTGTGCTTCCGTGTGTGACCGTGTGACTGTGTCCAGACCCCCGCCTGGCGGTGATGTGGGCCCTTAAATCACTTTTCCTGCTCACCCCTCCCCAGTGATTCAGTTTTACTTTGCAGCACTGTGGATCCGGGTAGCTGGGTGGCTTCTCAGGGGGATCCCCCACCCCGCCCACAAGTCTGGCCCCAGGGCTCTCGGAGGCAGGGGTTTCTGTTAGCGCACTCCCTCCAGCTGCAGGCACACAGCCTGAGCTCACAGCTGGCCTGAGTCGGGCCGGCCGGGGTGGAAGCTCCGAGTGGGCCTCTGGCCTTCCCTCCCGCTGTTCTGGGTCGGGAGTATCTGGAGCACATGGCACAGACCGGGGCCCCCTGTCCTCCGGGGAGGGTGGGACATCCTCTCTGCCTCGCGCCCCTGGGTGGAGATTCTGGCCAGCCTCCTCTCCCTGTTTGCTAAGGTCAAGGTGGGCCAAGGGTGCAGGTGCTCAGCCTGGTTCCCTCTCCCGGGCCCCTGAGGTTCTGCGGGTCAGGCAGATTGGAGACAGGACTTGTGTAAGGGGTGAAGGATGGAGACAGAGAAAATCAGGATCATTTCACAAGTTAATTCTACGTCTGCCGAGCCCCAGCCCCCCATGCGTCACCCTGAGGAGGTCCCAGGCTTCTCTCGGCCCCATCCACATGTTGCAGAGTAAATCTGGCCCCTCGGACCTGGAGTCCGAGATGGATGCCTGGCTGCTTCGCGCCCGTGCCCTCCTGGACAGGGTGACAGCTGGCGAGACACGGGGGGCTTGGGTGTGGGGAGATGGAGTGGGGCTGAGTTCCGTTTTTCCAGCCACCCCACATCCCACAGAAGGGGGGTCACGGTCAGTGCCTTGAGCTGGAAAGACGGGCAACGCTTCCGGCCCAAACCAACCAAGAGAACCACTAGGGGCCCGTTCGTCCTCTCAGAGGCTAAGAAAACGGACGAGGGCCCAGAAAGAGTTGTATGGGCAGCACGGCCTCTGCTGGTGCCCCCCCACTGCTGCCACTGCCGGGGCCGCGTCGTTCTCCTGTCACTGCCTCCCCCGCCCCTGCTGTTGGCCCTGAGGCTGGGAGTGGTTGTGGGGATGGACACTGTGCCCCCCACAATGGGCACCCTCGCCTGTGATTTGGGCGGAACCTCGGTGCTGTCCCAGGTGGACGAGAGGCTTCCGCGCAGCCGGGCCCCATGCCCTTGCTGAGAGCGACGCTGGAAATGCCCCGTGCCTCAGGGCCCTCGTGCTCGACGCCCCCCGCCCGGCCGCTCCACGTTCTCGTCTCAGCCTCTCTCTTTCTCTCTCTCCCTCCCGCCCTCCACCCCACCCATCTGGACACCCGCTGCCCCCAAGCGCTTTAATCCCTGTTACTGCCCTTCTTGGGCCCCTCTCTCGTCTGCCCTCTTTGGGGATGAGGTGCTGGCCCTGAAAGCGAACTCCAGGTGAGAACACGCGGGAGCCTCTGGGCTCTCCGGTAAGCTCTGTGGCTCCCCACCCCTCCCCCGTCTCTTCCCCATGTGTCCGGGGGTCCTTGCCTGCCTGTGCCTCCCATGCCCTCCCCCATGGGCGAGCGCCCACCTGCCCCGGCCCTCCTCCTGGGACGCCTGTGGTGAGGGACGTGGGGCTGCTGGGTCTGGGGCTTCCGGAAGGTGCCTGGGGTGCAGTGGGAGGGAGGAGCGGTCTCTGCCCTTGAAGGCCCTCCCTGCCCGTCCTGGGGTGCTCACCTGCCAGGTAATGGGGTGGCGTCTCTGTTCCCTGGCCTGGGGCCGCCACAGCCTGTCCAGTGCAGGGCTGTGCTTAGGAAGTTGTTCCGCAATCATTACCTGCCACGTCCCTGGGCTGCTGGGTGAGGGGCCTGCTCTGTGAAGCCTGAGGGAGAGCTCGGCTCCTGGTGCCCCTCTGCTGCCCGACCTGGGCTCTGTGAGTCTGGTGGGACCCGTGCCTCTGCCTGCCCTTTGGAGGTGGAGCCCGCACCCCACATGGCAGGACCCTGCTGGTGTCAGCTGGTCTTGGCAGGTGGATGGTGTGGACACAGGGACCCTCACTCACTGCTGAGACCCTCACCCCCATCCTAGCTCGGAACACAGGCACGTGGTGGCAAGCGACCCGGCTGGCGGGGGCTCGGTTCCCGTAGGAACCACTGGGGCTGTGCTGGAGTCAGAGGAGGCGTCTGCATTGGGGTCGGGTGGGGAGCCAGGCAGGCTGGGGCTTGGGCTGCCCGAGGCAGGGGTCCCGGGGGGGTCTCTGTGGCCAGGTGGGGGGCTCAGGCTGTGCTGCCCCAGGGGGGTCCTGGGGGGTCTCTGTGGCCACGGCGGCTCTGACTTGTGCTGTCTTGTCGCATCCTGCATCTCACTGCCTCCTGCCCCCGTGCTTGGAGGAGCCCCCAACAGCAGCTGCCCCCTTGTGCCTGTGTGGGCTCCCTCATGCCTGTGTGGGCCCCCTCGTGCCTGTGTGGGCTCCCTCGTGCCTGTGTGGGCCCCCTCGTGCCTGTGTGGGCTCCCTCGTGCCTGTGTGGGCTCCCTCGTGCCTGTGGGCTCCTCCTCCTCTTCTCAAGCACAAGTGTCCGCGTGTTTTTGGTGCCTGTCTGTCCTGTCGGGTCTTGGTCAGCATCTGTGGGTCTCGGGCTCGCCTGCCTGTCCGGCCTCGGGTCACGGCGCCTTCTCACACAGTGTGGAGCTCCCTGTGGCTGATGGGGCAGGAAGGAAGCCCAGTGCCAGCTGCAGACCCCAGGGTGAGGTGCAGCTGCACGGGCCCCCCACAAAACTTTGGGGGTCTTGGGGGGCTGTGGCTGCAGCGCCTCCCCACCAGCTCTCCCTGGCTCTCAGACCACGTTGCCCCATACAGGAGCTGCCAGCCACGGGTGGCTGTTAAAATAACGTGCATTAAAATGGGCACGATTAGAGATTCACTCTCGAGTCTCAGGTGCCTGGTGGCGACAGCCAGGGCTTCAGTGTGGCGACAGGACGATTCCATCGCAGAATTGGGCGGCAGGGGCAGCCCGGGAGGGGCCTCTTGGTCAAGGCGATCGTGATGGGGTCAAAACAGGAGACCTTGGGAGGTTTGGGGAAGCGGGACTCTGCCTCCTTCATGCTCCTTCCCTGGGGTGGCGAAGGTCTCCTGGGGCCCTCCAGGCAGGGGCTCTGTGCTTGGGCCTGGGCACCCTGGTGGTGCTGGTGGGAGTCTAAGGTCTTTGCCTGCCAGGAAGGCTTGGGTGTCATCATGGCTGCGGTGGCCACAGTGGAGAGACTCTGTGAGCAGTCAGAACCTTGGGCCCCGTCCCGCCCTCGCGTTCGTGGTTAACCAGCAAACAGAGTCCGGCCTTTTGCTATATCCCTTAGTGCCTGGGGACCCCAAAGCTGCTTGTGACCTAAAAAGCGGGACCGGCATGGGGGCTGGGGTGGAAGTTGGTCACCCGTCCTTGGGGTCTTGCAGGCCGGTGGGGCTCGCGGAAGGGTCCAGAGCCCTCAGCTACCCGGGTGGCCGAGTGCTGCCATGACTGGAGCTAGCCGTGTCCGTGACGCTGCGTGGAGAGCTGCCAGCGGGTTTATGCAGGGACGTTGGTGTCTAAACACGCGTGTGCAAGAAGGCAGGAGGCGGGACACTTTCCTCCCAGAGCCTGTGTGTTCTGAGTGGAAGCCGTCGTCACGCTGGGGTTCCTGGGGCGCCTAGTTTGAGAAGTGCTGTCTCAGGAAGCAGCGGCAAAGCGGGTGGGGGTGGCTGGGACGGGGAAAAGGAAGGGTTCTTGTCGTTCTTGGTGATTTGCTTTCATTTTCTGCTTAATCATTTGCATACTGTGATGCAGAGATAAATCGCCAGGGCTTTTGGGGAGATTCTTGGGAAAGCGTGCCAAGTTTTCTGAGCCTTTTCTAAGGAACGCCCAGCGGGGGCTGCCCCGGTGAAGGGCTTTGCACTGAGGGGATCCACCGAGCCCCGACGTGACTATCCTCAGGGGAGCCCTTGAACCCCCGGGTAGCCACGCCTGCAGCGGCAGCCACACCTCCTGGGTAACCCGAGACCCACCTCCAGCTGGGGGCCTGGCTGGCGTGGCCAAACGTCGCTGATTGGTTTGCGAAGCGGGACAGCTGCATGTTTTTCTCCCTAAAATGTGCTTCCGGCCCGGCGCGGTGGCTCAAGCCTGTAATCCCAGCACTTTGGGAGGCTGAGATGGGCGGATGACGAGGTCAGGAGATTGAGACCATCCTGGCTAACACGGTGAAACCCCGTCTCTACTAAAAAACACAAAAAACTAGCCGGGCGAGGTGGCAGGTGCCTGTAGTCCCAGCTACTCGGGAGGCTAAGGCAGGAGAATGGCGTGAACCCGGGAGGCGGAGCTTGCAGTGAGCTGAGATCCGGCCACTGCACTCCAGCCTGGGCAACAGAGCGAGACTCCGTCTCAAAAAAAAAAAAAAATTGTGCTTCCCACCCACACCCTTTCCTGGGATCACGTCCATCCCGAGCGGGGCTTCTGCGGCGTCTGAGGCCACATGTATTATTGTTTTGTTGGCATGAATACTGCAAAAAATAATACATCTTTTAAGACATGAACCCAAACTGTGGCTTTGGAAGGAAAAGGTATTTTTGGAGGAAAAAAAAAACACAAAAACCAGGGATTTTTTTTTCCTTCAGAAGTAGGGAAGTGTTTTCTTCTCCAGACGGTGGAGACGATGGTGCACCTTCCTCGCTGACCTTGCTTGGGCGCAAGCTCTGCTGCTGGGGACTGCACACAACACCCTGGGTGGTGGCGGTGCCTCAGTTTCCCTGCTCCCGGCCGTGTGCTGTTGCCGGCGCCCAGGACTAACTGTGCTCTCCTCATTTCCAGTAAAGGCAGCCCGTGCAGAGGGCCCCTGTGTGGATGCTGCCCCGGACGCTCTAGGTACCGCGGAACGCGCCGCACGGACTGACCGCTGCTGCACGGCTCCTCTGCCCCTCCCTGCTTACTAGAGGTTCTGGAGGAGCCAGGGGGAGGCTGGCGCCCCAACTCCAATTCTGACCCACCGCCCTCGCGGTGCGGGCTCAGCTCCTTCTATTCCAGCCGACAGCTGCCTGCAGGGCGGAGCTGGGCGAAGGTGGTTCTTCTTGCTCCCCACGCCTGGCGATGTCCTGCACGCAGCTGGAGGGGCCAGCCAGGGGCTCTGAACCCAGCAAGGCGTCCGTGCCTCCTGGGGTCCCCGACTGCTCTTCAGGGAGCGTTCCCCTGGGGCTGTCACTCTAGCACCTCTGCTGCACACCTGAGGACGACTGAGCCTTCCTGGCTGCCTCGCCCGCGGGAGGCAGCTCCGTCTGCGTGTGCCGGGCTCCTCAGGGTCCTGATGCATCAGAAGCCCCAGAAAGCCAGAGGCCCGCGGCTCCCTCTCCCAACAACAGGCCTGGTTTAGGGCAGGTGGAAACAGGACGGGGGAGGAGCCGCCCCCTTTGCACCGTGGGCTCCTGGCCTGCACTGTGACCCGCACCTCCCCTGTCCCTGCGTCCCCTGTCTGCTGTGGGGTGTGTGCAGGCCTGCACTGGGGGCCCCTCCCTCCTGGCCAACACAGCCCAGCAAGGTGGAGGCGGCTGTGTCGTGCTCACGTGGGGCCTCCTTGGCGCGTGCATGCCGCCCGTGGTGCTGTCCTCAGAGGGTTGGTGGGGCTGCATGCTGCCTACCTGTATCCGCGCATGCTCCAGACCCTGCTCCACGGGGGACCCGCAGCCCCCACCTCCCCCGGCCACCCTCTCCCTGCGACTTTGCTCTGCGCTTGTGTGCTTTGGAGTCGGTGCTTGCGGGCAGACTGTTGGCAGCCCAGAGAGGGAGACGGGCATGTGGGCTGCCCGGGGCACGGCCTGCTGGGGTTCTAGCAGGATGTCCTGCCTGTCCAGAGCTTCCGTCCAGGGTGCTTCTGGCCGCATGCTGGTCCCTCAGGGCAGGGGCTGAGGTCAGGCTGCTTGGGGACCAGAGGGTTTGGAAGTGGGGGTGGGAGCCCAGGCCAGAGATGACCCGTGGCAGGTCCTGTCCTGCTGCAAGCAGCCCCCACGGGAAGCCCCTTCATCCTCACACTCCCTGGGCATCATTGGTCCAGACACCAGCTGGGCGGGGCTCTGGATGCTCCTCAGCCTCCTGTTTCCTGCAGGCACCACACATCTGAATTTCCCCACGGGGAGGGAGGGTGGCAGGCAGGGTGGGGGTGGCACTCTCTCCCAGGTGCTTCTTGAGCCTGCCCCAGCCCCGTAAGCGCCAAGCGTAGGTGCCACGGACGCCCCTCGCACCCAGAGGGCAGCTCTGGCCGAGGGCTCCTCCCAGGCGGGCGTCGGCAGCTTTTCGCGTGTGCTTGTTCCTGGCTTGTGCGCCGAGGGAGGTTCCCGTGAGGCCATGTGCGCTCCTGGCAGCTGAGCAGGCTGGCGGGGTCGGGTGTCTGCAGCATGGAGCCTCACCGGCTGTGCTTGGAGGGTGCAGAGTTTGGGTCATGGTGGAGGTCCAGGGGAGGGAAAGACATGTCCAGGCCCCACCAGCCTCCTCTCCCTGGCAGAGCCTCCCTCACAGATCTGAGGTGGGAGCGGAGCCCGAGACCCGGGACAGCAGGGCCGTGCGGAGGCCAGGGCAGGCTCCTTCCCGCCGGCTCCGTCTTGGGGCAGTGCACGTGGGCTGCGTCCCGGTGGCCCTTGGGACTGTGCTGGCATCGGGTCCAGCAGGGCATGCCTGCCGCTTGTGGGACTGCGGCTCCTCGTGGTATCGGGGAGGGGGAGGTCCCCACTGGAAAATGGGAAGCAGACGTCATTGGGGCCGGGTCTTCTCTCCTGGGGCCTGTGGAATCCACGCCACTCCCTTCCTGCAACTCCCTGCGGACTACGGGGCCTGACCCTTCCTGGCCGGCACGTCTGTGTGGCGGCCTGGGTGTTTGACCCGTTCGTCTCCGAAGCCGCAGGAAGGAATCTGATGCCAATTCCTCAAGCTGTGCCTTTCCCACTGCAAGCCCTCAGCACTGGGCTCTGCCCAGAGACCAGCCAGGGGCAGCCCCGAAGCTGCAGTTGGGCCGACCGGCTCTGCCCTCCACCCGGTGCTTTGCCAGCTGCCATGAGAAAGGAGATGGCTGCTTCTCTCTCTTTGGCGACTGAACCTGCCTGGGGTGGAGAGGTGGAGAGAGGAATTGAGTCTTCCAGTGACTCCCACTTGTCCTAAGGCCTGAGCGGGGCCAGGAGGGCCTGTTCCTACCTCTGGAATGGCTCATGCAGTGGAGGAAGAGGAAACATTCCAGACCAGAGTCCCACGGAACCCAGGTGCTCCCCGGAGTCCCACGGAACCCAGGTGCTCCCCGGCCCCGGTCCGGTGCTCCCCGGCCACCTGTGCTTTTGTTGTTGGGACAGGGACCAGAGGCTGTCGGGACAGAGGCCCCCATGGCACCAGGACTCTGAGCACCCCTGGCCCCTGTGGGCACAGCGTGTTGGCCTCAGGCAGTGCAGGGCTGTGGACTCAGGGATGGGGTCCTGAGCGAGCCTGTACCATCGGCTCCTGATGTCCCCAAGCACGCGCCACCTCGGGGGGTCTCAGCCACTCCGTCTCTGCTTCCCTGAGCGGGCACCACACCCGGGGGCTTCCGTCTCTGCTTCCCTGAGCGGGCACCACACCCGGGGGCTTCTTTCTCTCAGAGACCTGAGTGGGCACAGATGGTCTGGGCGGTCACCTGCTGCCCGGGGGATGGGGTGGGGAGGAGCAGCCAAGCCACCCGCGTGTCCAGGCCGGGCAGATGGGCGCGGTGGGTCTCGTGTCTGTGGCTGGTTATCTCTGTGCCGTCTGGTGGCGTGTCTTTCTGGCTGTGGGTCCAGGGTTGGGGCTGATGGTGGCTGCTGACCGGGACCTCAGTCGCTCGCTGTTGGCTGTGGAGCTGCCGTGGGATCAGTGAGCCTGTGAGGCACTGGGCTTCCTCTCTGAAGTGTGTCAGGGATCTGCTGGGCCTCCCCACCCGAGGGCTCGTCTCAGGCCCCTGGAACGGTACTCTGGGCCCTGCCCAGAACCGCCCTGAGAAGTTCCGTGGCTGCTAAGCATGGCTGGGCACAAGCGGGTCCCCAGTTCACGAGAGCCCCAGTGTCCTCAAGGGAGCCAGAGGACTCTGATGCTTTCCAGACCTCAGGAGGCCACATCTGCCGGGTGCATCCCAACCACGGTGACCCCTCCCCTCCCCTCACTGTCGCCCAGAGGACGCTGGAGCTGAAGAACTTGGGTGCAAACCTGTCGCCACAGTCACCAAAAAACTCAGGAGCAAGGCAGGCCCAAGGACCCCTGAGAATATGGAGCTGGAGATCCAGCCAGACACAGCTGCAAATCCTGCTTCACGCCTCGCAGGCCGAGGGGGTGGGCCACAGCACTGCAGCTTCCAAGGCTGCCTCCCCCTGCCCTGGGGCAGGACTTGGACAGTGAGGCTTGTTGCTTGAGGCCCGGCTGGCGGAGGAGCCCTGTTATCCATTCCTTCCTTCCAGAAGCCTGAAGGAGCAGTTCTCTGACGACGCACCTGGTGGGAGGGAAGCCCGACAGGGGAGGCCTGAGCCCTCCCGAAGCCCGTCCCACCAGGCAGTCCCCCGGGTTGGGTGGAAAGGCTGGAGTGTGGCGGAAGGGTCCGCCGCAGACTCGGCCCCCAACGTCCTGTTGTCCCCCGGCCCCTTGACTCTGGGGCAGAAGGAGAGGGACAGGCGGCGGGCGGGCAGGAGGGAGGCTGCTTCCTGGGAGCAGTTACAGGTGTGAAAAGGCCACAGGGGAAACCACGGGTGGGGCCAGGGCAGACAGAGGTGCCCGAAGGAGAGCCGCAGCCCTGGTGTTTGGGACGCCCATTGCCCTGCGTGTCACTGGGTGAGGGGCTGGCGGGACAGCGTGAAGAAGGCACTGGCACCTCATGGTGGTAGCGGAAAGTGATTTAAGAGTCCACAGACATCAACTCCCCCGACACAGCCGAGCTCTGGCCACGCCTGGGCCAGCCGGGGGAGCTTGCCGCCCACCCAGCCTCCCCTCCCTCCCTCCTCCCGCCCGGTGCTCGGTCCCCGTGGCATCTGCTCTGAGCCACCTGTGTGGCTGGCTGTTCTTCAGACCTGTGTCTCCCTGCAGCGCGTGGGCGGCGTTGGCCGTGAGCAGACACGGTCTGTGTTCTTTCCAGAGTGACTTCTCTCGCTGTTTTTCTGTCTGTCTGTCTGTCTGTCTGTCTGTCGGTTCCCATGGGAGCAGCCAGAAGGTCAGTTTGAAAGATCGTGTCTTCTCCAGCCCCCGAGGCGTAGCTGCCAAGGGGAAGGGGTCCCCGCAGGCCCAGACTGTGCGGCGGTCACCCAGCGCCGACCAGAGCCTCGAGGACAGCCCCAGCAAGGTGCCCAAGAGCTGGAGCTTCGGGGACCGCAGCCGGGCGCGCCAGGCTTTCCGCATCAAGGGCGCCGCATCACGGCAGAACTCCGAAGGTGGGTCTGGCCGCGCCGCCCTCTCCAGGGATGGAGGTGGTGCCCGAGCCACTGGGACACCCGGTGGCATCACAGCCTCTTGTGCTTGCTCTTGGAGCGGGAACCCCCATCCTTTCTAAAATTGAGTTACATTCATGCAACCTAAAATTAACGATTTAAAAGTGTACGAATTCAGTGGCATTTGGCACACTCATGGTGGCGTGGTCGCCACCACTTCAGCCTAGTTCCAGAACATTCTCATCACCACGGAAGGAAACTGTGGCCCCATCAGTGGTCACCCCTTTCCCTGCCTCAGCCACAGCGCCCACCGCTCTCGGGCCGTGCGTGTCCACGGCTCCTGCACGCGGCCGTCGGGTCTGGCTTCCTTCACTGAGCCTCAGGTGTCAGGCCTGCACCTTCCGCTGTTAACATCTGTGTGTGGATGCACCATGTTCTGTTCATCCGTTGGCCGGGGTGTCCTTTGATGCCCCACGTCGACCACTCCCTGTGGCCACAGGCTGCCGGGGAAGGTCACCCGGATGCAGAGGGGAGGGTTTCCAGAAAAGCAGGTGCACCCATGGGGCACCCCAGGGAGCCTCAAAGGGCTCCCTGGTGCTCTGTCCAGCTGGTGTACCCTGCAGGACCCCGGGAATGGGTCTCCTGGCCCCCTCGACCCCTCACGGCCTGTCTCCTTCCCCCCAGAAGCAAGCCTCCCTGGAGAGGACATTGTGGATGACAAGAGCTGCCCCTGCGAGTTTGTGACTGAGGACCTGACCCCGGGCCTCAAAGTCAGCATCAGAGCCGTGTGGTGAGGCCCCTGCCCAGCTGGGAGCCTGGGGGAGTGAGGAGGGACCTCCCGCTCGGTGGTCCTGCCTCCTGCAGGTGCTCATGGGGCTGGACAGAGCCGCCCAGAGACAGGGTCTACCAGGAAAAGAAAGGGCCAAGACACGGCAACCTGGCTGAATGTCCTGGAGTCCACTCTGGGACTCGGGTGGGCTTCGGGTGGGACGCTGGTTCAGCAAGAGGCCTGAGGCCTGGTGCCACCTGGCTTAGGAAGCAGCTCAGCCACTTTGTGCCTGCTGTGGCATGGAGTCCAGGGGGGCATGGCCAGGCCTGCAAGCCCCACCTGTCACGGGCATAGCAGGGCCACGAACAGGCCCTTGTGTGTGTGGAGCTGGTGGGAGGCAGACAAGACAGGCAAGTCCAGCCATCTTCAGGGGCCGCGGTCTCAGAGGTGCTGGGAGGGCGACAGGCAGGCAGACGCAGGGCCAGCCTGGTGCATGTGGCTGGGGTCTCTGGCCCAGGGCTCACGGCCCCACCCACCCCCTGCAGTGTCATGCGGTTCCTGGTGTCCAAGCGGAAGTTCAAGGAGAGCCTGCGGCCCTACGACGTGATGGACGTCATTGAGCAGTACTCAGCCGGCCACCTGGACATGCTGTCCCGTATTAAGAGCCTGCAGTCCAGGCAAGAGCCTCGCCTGCCTGTCCAGCAGGGGACGAGAGCGGGGTGGGCTTCTGGGACAAAGCCCACTGTGGCCCACGGTGGGAGGGCAGGGGGTGTGCGGGGGGGCCTCCTCCCCCACCCATGTCGGCCTCTGTCAGCTTCTGTTGTGTCTTCACAAAGTCGGTTTTAATATTTCTGTTGTTTCCCCCGTCTTTCCCCCATCCACACTGCGGTGGAAAAGTGTGTGCACCTGCGTGTGTGGGTCCTTGAAAACGTGTGTGTGCATGTGTGTGTGTATAAGTCACGCATGCACACGTGTGCTTCCGCACAGGTGTATGTGTGTGGTGTGCACATGTGGCTCTGCTCTGCCATGTATGCACGTGTGTGGGGAGTGCATACATGTGTGTACACATGTGCGCATGTGTGTGCATGTGTGTTGGGGATGGAGTAATTCTGTTGAGACATGAAGCTGCAGGGTTCCCGTGGGCCCCGCCAGGCAGCAGTAATGCTATTTGGCACCTTTTCTTCTTCTACCTGCCCTTCTTGGTGTAGGTGTCCCCTAAGTCCACACGTGTGCAGCCTCAGGCACATACAAACAGGCATATACACACGAGTGGGTGTTTATGTTGCCTGTAAGGGGGACACACGGCTGTTGGGAGTCTCTCCTGCAGTAGGGGACATGCTCCTGCCTATCAGGGTCCCCTCCCTCTCCCAGGCCCCCCAACCAAGGCTGTAGCAGTTTCCCAGCCCTGGAAGCGAGGCTGGGCCCCTGTTACAGGGAGGAGGCTGGGATGGTCAGGGACAACCGGGGTCACAGCCCAACTCCGGGCCTTCCAGCCGAGTGAAGCTCTCCTCTGAGGCAGTCGAGAACCCCACCCTGGGGCTCCTGCCCAGTCCTGTTTCAGGGGGCCAGGGAAGGGGCGCCTCCAGGCCTTAGCCCACTGCTGCTGTGCGGGGACTGCTGAGCCATCCCCTGCGCCCCGCTGGGCTCCAGCCGCGAGGCCTCTTTTCCAGCGTCGTCTCTGGAGCAGCGGCCAGCGCTGGCCTCGTGTGCGTGTGCGTGCGCGTGCAGAACGCCCTCCTGTCGACTTTTGTGCTTTGTGTCCACATCTCTCTCACTTCAGCTGTTTTTGTTCACCAGGATCTCGTCCTAAATTTTCCCTTTCCTTCCCTTCCCTTTCTCTCTGGAAAAACAAACAAACCAAACCAAACAGCCCAAGGACCCCAGGAGTCCTCGGCCGGCTCCTGACAATGCGTTTCACGTTGCCCCGCAGCGGCCTGTCTGGTACCGGCTCCCGCTGCAGGCGCCTCCCCTGCACTGCACGCTCCGGGGCGCAGCACCCGGGTCTCCGCAGTGGGGCCTCCCGCCACCGCTCCCGAGTCAAACGCTTTGCTTGAAACACGGGAAGGACTTGGCAAATCCAAGGTCCAGCGAGGTGGTGTCCGCACCCTCTGTGGGAAAGCACCTGTTTTGACGAAGCCTCACTGTTGCTTCTGTTGGGTGTTCCTTCCATTTCCGCCAGTTCCTGGCCAGCTCCTTCTTTCATGTGGCTTTACGATGCATTTTGCTGGTGTCTCTTTTCTTGTTTACTCTGCCAGGATAGATATGATTGTGGGCCCCCCACCCCCTTCAACTCCCCGGCACAAGAAGTACCCCACCAAAGGACCCACGGCCCCTCCGAGAGAGTCACCCCAGTACTCACCTAGGTTAGGATGCCAGCACCTCTCCGACGTGTCTGTGGAATGGCCGGCCCCTTCGCTCCAGGCCACATGACGGCAGCACCTTGTACCACCCTTTCCCCGGGCCAGAGGGGATGCTCGGGTTTTCTCTGTGCCTGAAAAGGCAACATGAGGGAGAAGGCCCTTCCTCCTCCAGGGCCCCAGGCAGGCTGTGCCCATGTCAGGACTGCCAGGGGCCCCACTGCTCCTCTCAACAAGTGCCCTGGGGAAGCCGGGGGCTCTGGACGCCCTGTGAGACTTCCCTCTGGAGTTGGGAGGTCCCCGGGCAGCACCTCCAGGATGAGATGCCATCAGACCTTCAGGGATGTCCCCCTTGCCCTGCTCCCGCCCCCTGGACAGGCCCCTCCTGGCAGAGGGCCCTCCAACCTCCCCAGGCACTGACCTGCCCCTCAGCACCTGCCCACTGCGGGGGTGGGCTTGGCCGTGTGCACGGCCCCGTGTGGCTCTGAGCAGGTGGAGCTGCGTGTCTGTGGCTCTTCCCTCTCGTGGAAGATACAGATGGTTACAGCATCTACCCCTTAAGCCACTGGGAAGAAATGTGAGCAAAGGCCTGCCAGGTGCCCGGCACAGACGTGTACTGAGCAGCTCCGGTGCTGGCTTTCAAGCCGCCAGCATCCTAATTAGTGTTTTTGATAAAGGAGCTGGCGAGAGCCCCAGCCGATGGGCAGAAGAGGCGCGGCCCACGTGAGCTGGCAGAAACCGATTCTGTAGTGATTAATTCAGACTTTCCAAGGCCTTCCTGCCTCCCAGGGACCATTCAGATGACGGTGGTTCCCCATCTTCTGGCAAGTCTGATAGGCTGAGGGAGGGCACAGCCCCCCGGGCAGAGGCCTGGAGGCTGAGCATAGACCCCTGGCCCGCATAGACCCCTGGCCCTCCCTGACAGCTCAGGGCAGAGGGTTTCTGGGCACAGCCGATGCCAGTGTCTGGGCAAATGAAGCCCAGGCCTAGGCTGTTGGGGGCAGCGTCCGGGGCGAGTCTGACCCCTCCTCCGTCTGTGGTGGGTTTCTGCCTGTGAGGCTGAGGTTCTGTGCACTGGACACGTCAACCCCACGCTCCTTGCATGAGAACGGAGTTTCTGGGAGCAGGCAGGGCGTCGTCTGTTACTGCCCAACCCAAGGCAGCCCCAGACAGTGTTTACAGGGTTCCCTGCTCTGCGGTGCCCCCCAGGCCCAAGGGTGCTGTGCCCTGGGGCTGGTCCTCCGTCCTCCTGTGCCTTGCCACAGGGGACAGCAGTTGGGCGTCCATAGCTGTGAACTCGGAAGGTCCTCTGTCCTCAGGAGACGTAGGTTCACACAGAGAGGGGGCCGGGGGACAGTTGGAGCACTTGCCCCACCTCACGGGGCACTGAGCACTCAAGGATCAAGTCTCCCCCAGTCTGGGGTCCAGGGCAGGAGGGGCACAGGGTCCTCAGAGGAGCCCCCAGCAGCAGCTCCAGGCTGAGCCCGTGGCCAGGGCTCCTATTGGGACTGAGCAGGCGGGCGGCCCGTCATGTGGCAGGGGCGAAGGTGCTGAGCATCTGCCTGGACTGTGTGGACGCCCCGAACACCAGGGACCCCCATCTCCTCCATCGCCACTGGCGTCTGCTCGGAGCCAGAGGGTCCCCTCCCGCTGCCCCTCCCCCCGTCCCCTCCCGCCCTCCTGGCCCTATTGCATGAGTCCAGCATGAAGCCCCGCAGAGCATGAGGAGCTGCACTGTGGCCGACGCGAGCCTGAAACCCCCTCTGTTTCTTGCAACAGAAAGAAGAAAACACCCCCAGCCCACCCTCCCCCACCCCCATCAGAGGCAGGTAGGGCAGCCCAGTGGCAGGAAGTGAGGACTCGGCCCCGTCGGGCTGGTGTGGGGCGCTCTTCATGTACCAGGCCCCAGTCCAGAGGAGACTCGGGAGCTTGTGCCCTCGCCTGGGTGGGTCCTGCTCAGCCACACCCTGTCTCGAGCTGCCCTTGTCCAGCTGGACTTTTATAGACTTACTGCAGGGTCTTCGTTTCCAAGTGAGTTCCCATGTAGCTACAGGCCTCAGCGCACACCCACAGTGGTGGCCCCCGCCAGCCCAGCAGCGGCCATGGCTCTGTGGCTACCAGACTGGTCAGAAGCCCCTGTCCCTGAGGGCAAAGGAGCCTCCCTCCCTTTTTATTGTCATGAGTGACCTATGGCCTCATTGGAGATCAGCTCAGCTGAATTCTGCATCCTGCAGACACATAGGCTCACACGCAAATGTGCACAGTCTTGCACACATGAACACATGCATACGTGTGGTCACACAAACTTGTGCAATGCAAGAGGGCACACACACACAACTGAGGACACACACGTGCAGTATGCACACGCCTGGGTACACCCATGCACACACACGTGCAGTAGGCACACACCTGGGTACATATGTGCACACACACGTGCAGTATGCACACACCTGGGTACATACGTGTGCACACACGTGCAGTATGCACACACCTGGGTACATACGTGCAGTATGCACACGCCTGGGTACACACGTGCACACACACGTGCAGTATGCACACGCCTGGGTACACACGTGCAGTATGCACATGCCTGGGTACATACGTGCAGTATGCACATGCCTGGGTACACACGTGCACACACACGTGTAGTATGCATACGCCTGGGTACACACGTGCACACACACGTGCACACACCCTCGCAGCTTTGTCTCCCCTCCTCTGGTTTGTGCGTTGGTTCCTGTGCTGCTCTGTGCCCTCCCTCCTTGTCCTGGTGCATGGAGCTGCAGCTCTCAACGCCTTTTCTGCTTCTGTTATCCCCGCCACAGACATTTAACTCTGTCCCCATCAGACCTGGTGGGGCCGACGGCCTCAGTGGCACATTACGTAGGAGTAAAGCTCCAGGGTGGGCATGGGTAGGGGGAGGGGCATCCTCCGGAGTGGGCTCCAGGCCCTGCAGTGGGAGACCCTCCGTGGGCTGTGGGGTCACTAGGCCTTGAGCAGGGAAGAGGGTGAGCAGGTGGGGCTGGCTGGAGGGAGCCGGGAGCCCACGGAGAGGAGCCAGGTGACTTGGTCCTGGTGGGAGCTTCCTTTACTCCTCGCTAATGTGCCAGGCCCCTCGGGGACAGAGTGGGCAGGAGCAGAACCTCGCGGTGCCAGAAGACGGGCTGAGAATGGGGTGTACCCCGTCCATCTGTTCTGGCACCCGCTGCCCCCTGGTCGGCTCTGGGCTGGGCCTGCAGCCTGGCCCAGGAGGAGAGGGCAGGGGCCCTGCTGCACCCACCCGAACTCATGCTTTGCGGTCTCTGTTCCTGGTAGAGTGGACCAGATTGTGGGGCGGGGCCCAGCGATCACGGACAAGGACCGCACCAAGGGCCCGACCGAGGCGGAGCTACCTGAGGACCCCAGCATGATGGGACGGCTCGGGAAGGTGGAGAAGCAGGTGCGAGAGGCTGGGCGGGAGGGGTGCGGGTCTGGAGGGCTGTGGTGCCTGCTGTCCTGGGGCCCTTACTGTCAGTCTGTGGCAGTGTGGGCTTCAAGGGCTGGGTGCCACGGAGGGGGGCTCCTCAAGTCTAGGGGGCATATGCCCCTGTCACCACTGACAGCTGCTCTGTGCAGACCCCTCACACCTCACCGTAAGCCCCCCGCCCCCGGCCTGGGGTGCCTTCCCTCCTGACAGTCCCCAAGAGTCTGCTGCTTCCACGTCCCCTGTAGAATGTGCCAGAAGTTGTACCTGCCTGGCCTTCCTCCTCTCTGTCCTCCTTGCCTGACACCCCAGCCACTGTCTTCTGGGGGTGCATTCTCAGAAACCACCGCAGAGGACCCCTGTTTTGGGGTCTGCATCTGAGAACTGGGCCTGAGCAGTAAGTGAGGAACTGCCAGGTCCTGCCCTGTGGGGCTTTCCCTGAAGGGGGTTCCACAGTGGGCAGCAGGAGGGCCTGGCTCTGAACACATGCCCCAACCGTGGAGCTGGAGGCTGAGCCCCCAGGGGTCTGGGAAGGAGGAGGAGCTAGTCGGGGGCCTCCTCTTCCTGCCCCTCCAGCTTCCAGGGAGCAGGGGTACCCCCTCCCTGCACCTCTCCAGCGAGCAGCCCGGGTCCCCCCACCTCCTGGGACCAGCCCAAGTCGACTGACTTCCTGGGAGTGGCCCAGGTCCCCCCATCTCCTAGGACCAGCCTGGGTCCCCCCCACTTCCTGGGACTAGCCTGGGTCCATCCTGTTTCCTGGGACCAGCCTGGGTCCCCCCGTTTCCTGGAAGCAGCCCAGGTCCCCCCGTCTCCTGGCACGGGCCCTCGCAGCCCAGCCCAGCAGCCCCTTTTGCAGGTCTTGTCCATGGAGAAGAAGCTGGACTTCCTGGTGAACATCTACATGCAGCGGATGGGCATCCCCCCGACAGAGACTGAGGCCTACTTTGGGGCCAAAGAGCCGGAGCCGGCACCTCCGTACCATAGCCCGGAAGACAGCCGGGAGCACGTCGACAGGCACGGCTGCATCGTCAAGATTGTGCGCTCCAGCAGCTCCACGGGCCAGAAGAACTTCTCGGCGCCCCCGGCTGCGCCCCCTGTCCAGTGTCCGCCCTCCACCTCCTGGCAGCCACAGAGCCACCCGCGCCAGGGCCACGGCACCTCCCCCGTGGGGGACCCTGGCTCCCTGGTGCGCATCCCGCCGCCGCCTGCCCACGAGCGGTCACTGTCCGCCTACGGCGGGGGCAACCGTGCCAGCACAGAGTTCCTGCGGCAGGAGGACGCCCCGGGCTGCAGGCCCCCTGAGGGGACTCTGCGGGACAGCGACACGTCCATCTCCATCCCGTCTGTGGACCACGAGGAGCTGGAGCGTTCCTTCAGCGGCTTCAGCATCTCCCAGTCCAAGGAGAACCTGGATGCTCTCAACAGCTGCTACGCGGCCGTGGCGCCTTGTGCCAAAGTCAGGCCCTACATCGCGGAGGGAGAGTCAGACACCGACTCCGACCTCTGTACCCCCTGCGGGCCCCCGCCACGCTCGGCCACCGGCGAGGGCCCCTTTGGTGACGTGGGCTGGGCCGGGCCCAGGAAGTGAGGCAGCGCTGGGCCAGTGGACCCGTCCGCGGCCCTCCTCAGCACGGTGCCTCCGAGGTTTTGAGGCAGGAACCCTCTGGGGCCCTTTTGTTACAGTAACTGAGTGTGGCGGGAAGGGTGGGCCCTGGAGGGGCCCATGTGGGCTGAAGGACGGGGCTCCTGGCAGTGACCTTTTACAAAAGTTATTTTCCGACAGGGGCTGGAGGGCCCGGCAGGGCCCTGTGGCTCCAGGAGCAGCGTGCAGCAGTAAGGCCGCCCTGTCCACTCTGCTCAGGGCTGTGGCAGACATCGGCCTGGTGTGAGGAGGGGCAGGAGTGATGACGGGGTGTGGCTGGCATGGCGACGGGCGGGGGATGGTCTCAGGGAGCCAAGCCCAGGGGAGGCACAAGGGGCAGGCCTGTTCCATGAGGACCTGTGGGCCTTGGGGCCTGGTGGGATTTCTGGGCAGCTGCGGGTGGGTGTGGCCGGCCGCTGCGCGTGGCCTCTGCCCTCACACCTGGCCTGCCCGGCGGACTTTCCCGTGCCCCACCTCAGGGGTGCCCAATTACAGAGCTGTTGATTGGCATCTTCTCCTGTACCTTCTGGGATCTGAGGGATCTTTTGGTGGGAACCAGCCCTGAAGGGGAGACCCTCACTGGCAGCTGAGGAGCAGGTGGGGCCTGGAACCAAATTGGAGCCCAGAGTGGACGTCCAACCCTCTGGCCTTGGCCTCTAGGGGGAAGGCCCGGCTCACGGTGGGACCAGGGATCCAGCTCTGAAGCGTCTTCAGAAAGGGGGTCCTTGGGGGCTCCAGCTGCCTCGCCGTGGCCTTTCCGTGGGTGCGTGAGAGCCAGCAGCACCCCAGCGTCGGAGACCTAGGGGGCAGGACCCCAAGTCTTCCCCTCTCTCCTGACTGCCCTGGTTGGGTGCTGGCACTGGGACACCTGCCTGGTGAGCAGGCCTCACAGTTCTTAGCCAGGGATCCGCCTCACCTTTGTCCACCAATGCCCTGACAGACTTGGGGCAGGGCTGGGCCGTGATGCGGTGGGCCAGGAAAGCCTTCACGCCAGCACAGGGCCACCCTCCCCGCCTTTCCGGAGGAAGCCGCCCCCACCTCAGCCCAGCTGAGCGCCCTCCCTGCTCTCCTGCGCCCCTGGAGCTGACGGCCCCTTCTCTACTGACCGATTCCTTAACTGGGCCTCTTGGGGTCTCGGGCCTCAGGGATGCACCATCCCACACCTGTCCTGTTGCGGGCACCGTGGCCCTTGGGGCGGGTGGTTGTGATGGGGGAGCGAGTCCCTAGCTCCAGACTTAAGCACCAGAGCCCGGGAGCATCTGGCATTGGGGTGATGGCATCGCAGGCGGGCCTGGGCTCCTGGAGAGTGGCCTCCCTGGGAAGGAGCAGGGCTGGGGTCGTGGGCACAAATACTCCCAGAGAGCAAGGACAGGGGAGCCCTGGGCCCGTTTCTCCTCCACCTTCGGGAGCCCTGGGCCTGTTTCTCCTCCACCTTCGGGAGCCCTGGGCCCATTTCTCCTCCACCTTCGGGAGCCCTGGGCCCGTTTCTCGTCCACCTTCGTTTTAAGTTCACTTGGCTTGGCTGGGAGGTCCTGAGGCCCTGAGGTCAGCAGGGGAACACGTCCTGAGGGAGAGGACTTTGAAAGCAGCATGTGAGGGTCGTACGCCCCTGGCTGGTGGGGGTCCTGGCGCTCAGGGTGTTTGGGGAGCCATGTCTGGCGTCCGTTGTGGGGAGCTGCTACCCTGGCCTCTGTGCCTACCCCCAGCCCAGCCAGGGCACTCCCAGGCCACATCGTCATTGGGGTGCCTCCGCTGGGCCGTCTCCTTACCGCTCCCTGTGCCGGAGCCTGTCCCAAAAAGGTGCCCATTGGGAGGCCTCAGAAGCCACTGTCCAGGCTCCCACTGCGTGTCTGCTTTGTTCCCAAAGGCAGTGTGTGTGTGGCCTCGGGCCCTGCGGTGGCAAGAAGCATCCCTTCTGGCGTGTTTCCTGGGCAGCGTCTCACGGGCGGTGCCCTTCCTGTCTCCCTTGGGCTGGCTCGAGCCCGGGGACCACACCCCTTCGCCTTCCCATCATGGGACAGGGAATCCCTAGCGGGGCCCACAGGCAGGGGTGTGAGTGCATCCCGCTCAGCGCAGCACCAGCCCCAGCCACCGCTCCCCACGTCCCCAGTTCCGGCTCAGCCACCCGGACTTCAGATCCCGGAGAAGAGAGACCTGGCAGTGGAGGGAGGCTGTGCTGTGTGTCCCCTGCCAGGTGTGGCCCCGCCTGCTCTTTCCTCCCCCCAGGGCCTCTGAGGCATGAGCACCTGGGCACAGGTTGGGGTTCTGCAGGAGGCACAGGTTGGGGTTCTGCAGGAGGCACAGGTTGGGGTTCTGCAGGAGGCACAGGTTGGGGTTCTGCAGGATGGGGAAGACAGGCCAATCCCTTCCCTACCAGAAGCTGGCCGCCCAGCAGGAGGAACTGAGGCCAGACTCATGTCCAGCAAGGAGCCTGTGGTGTGTAACCTGGGAAGTCTCTGGTCCCTGGGAAGAGGGAAGGTACACGTCCTGGGATGGTTGGGGGGCCCTGTTTTGGGAGACAAGGGGGTAGAGGGTCTCTCTTGGGTCCCCCCAGACTCCAGCCTAAGCAGTGCAGCCACCCCCTGCCCCGGGACCTCACCTCAGAGAAGTGCAGCGGGAAGGAGGCTGGAGGTGGTGCGGCGCCGCCTCGGGTGTCTGCGTGAATGAGCGTGGCCAAGGACTGGTGCCGCCTCATGGCAAAGAGCTCCCACGATGTTTGTTAGAGCGCACATCCCTACATGCCCACTGGCACACACACGTGCTCACACACGCCCGCATACAGGCATACACGTGCACACTTGCACACATGCACACACATGTGCACACATGTGCACAGACCACACGTGTATAGACCATGCACTGTACACATATGTGCACACACATTCCTGCATACAGGTATACACATGCACTCTTACATGCACACACATGTATAGGTCACACACAGTACACACATATGCACAAGTACACAGACCACACACAGCACTGACACATGCACACACAAGTACACAGACCACACAGCACACACATACACACAGACCACGTGCACACACAAGTGCACAGACCACATGGCACACATGCACACACACACACGCATGCGTGCACACGCCTCCCACCTCCAGCATTGGAGCCCGTCTGTCTCTGGTCTTTCTCTTTGACCCTGCTGGGTTTAAGCTGCCTAGGGAGGGGCTACAGGGAGTAATTGTGGCTTTAGGGGTCATGGTGATGCCGGAATGTCAAGCCCTGTGGTGGGGTATCCGACTGTCTGGGTTCCTGGTCCACAGTGGCAGAGTGCCAGGCAGAGCCCCGTCAGGGTCTTGTGCTGCCCCTGCCCACAGCCTGGCAGCCATCCAGAGGAGGGGCTCTGTCAGATGCCAAGGTGTCCCGGCGTCCGTATGTGTGTTCATCTGCGTCCTGTGTTTGGTCTGCCCTGGAGGTGCTGGGCCCTCCTGGGATGGGTGGCCCAGCCTCGAATCCCAGGCCCTGGCCCAGGCGGGCGCTACTGCCCATTGTGGTTTCCTGGCCCAGCTTCTCCTTCTTCCTCTGCGTAAAATTGCAGTCCGTGAATCTTCCAGCTGTGACCGCGGCTGGGACATGCTGGGGGAGGGCGCCTCCCGTGCCTCCCGCGCCTCCCGCGCCTCCCAAACACAGATGTCTGAGCAGGGCAGGTGCCCAACATCCCCCACTGGAGGACACACTGCCCCTCAGCGATGCCCCTAACTTTTGGGTAACCTTGTCTCAAGCCCCCACTTGGAGGCTGGAATCGCCCCAGGCACTGTGAGGGCTTCTCCAGGGGCACCTTCTGAGCTGTGGGTCTGATCACCCCAAGTCCCGCCCGGAGGAGAGGCACAGCCGGGGCGTGCGTTTTAACATTTACCCCCTTCAGGGCTGGAGGTCTCAGTGTTTCTAGATTCCAGACCCTGCTGCCGGAGAGACCTGCTGCTAGAGAGAAGGGGAGGAAGACCCCAGCTGGGCTCGGTCCCCCACAGTCAGGGACCCCCGTAAAGGACACCCCCTTCTTTCTAGAAAGAACTGGGCCCTGAGCTATTTCTAGTCGCTTCCTAGAAGCCGAAGGAGCCGTGAGAGCTTCGCAGAAACACCCTTGTTGTCCCCACCGCCCCGAGCTGTGAGTGCCGTACGAGCGGAGGCCGGGGCACTGGCGAGATCACAGGTGGACACTGCACAGCCCCAGTGACACAAACTCTTATAGCAAACGTGGTGTGAGAGGGATGGCTCACCAGGCTTGGACCTGCCGTGGAGGGTGCCCGGCAGGGGGCTGAGCTCTGAGGGGTGGGCGCTCAGTGCACGGGTGCCCCCAGTATCCTCTGACCCTGTCCAGTGCCTCCCCCAACCCCCACACCCATGCAAAACTCCCAGGCCACATGTATGTATGTTCAGGGCATGAGGGTGGGGTAGAGAGGCCTGGTCAGGGCCTTTGGGGGCTGCAGGATGGAATGACCACCCGGGGAGCCTGTGTGGCTGTGCTGGGCCAGCCGTCCTGTGTTCCCACCCAGTGGGGCAGGCTCCACCTCGGCCCCAGCAAAGTGCTAAGGAGCAGGACAGACAGCCAGGGCAGCTTCCTGAAGGATGTGGGATGGTGGACTCCAGGGTGGAGGGAATACCCAGGTTCCTGTCCCTCCAGGAGACCTGGAGAAGCTGCACACCCAGAAGCTTTCCGTGAGCCCGGGAGCATGAGCGAATGGGGGTCCCAGTTTGCTGAACTTTGCTGTCTTGTAAGGGTGGGGGCTGATGGCAAATCCGGGAGGAGGTGATGTCACTGAGGAGGTTGTGGGAAACGGTGGAGGAGAGACGGGAAAGGGCCGCTTGGGAGGGAGGGGCCTCTTCAAAGTTTTAAAAGGCATTTGTGGGGTGGGATTGAGTGTGCTCTGGGCTTGGACACTTGCTGTGGTGCCCCTGGCTGGCCGAGGAGACTGGCTTTGGCCAGTGGC